GGTTCTGTCCCTCGGTGTCCCGGCTGGGGCAGGAATGATGCTGCAGCTCCTGGCGTTGTCCCAGCACTCCAAGTCCACCCAGGCAGCAGCAATTCCCATTGTCCTGCCATTCCTGCTGCCTTGGGAGCTGTGGCATTTTCCCAAGCCAGGCTCTGAACAATGCTCAGACCTTCAGGGTGTGTGACAAAGGCAGCCCTGGCATCCCAGAGGGGCTGTGCTGCTCCAGAGGCAAAGTGTGTGGGTTTGGGGTGAGCTGCCTCTGGGATGTTCTGCATTGTTTGGGATGTTCTATGTTTTTTGGGGTGAGCTGCCTTTGGGATGAGCTGCCTTGTTTGGGATGTGCAGCCTTTGGGGTTTGCAGAGTTTGGGATGTTGCTGTTGTTTCGGGTGAGCTGCCTCTGGGATGTTCTGCATTGTTTTGGGATGTTCTGTGTTTTTTGTGGTGAGCTGCCTTTGGAATCCCCCTCCGGGCAGGAGATGCCCATCCCAGCCTGGCACAGCTCCTGGCACTCAGGTGCCTTGTCCAGAGGTGCCGTGAGGCTGTGCCACGGTCACAGGGACACTGTGGGGTGTGTGTCCAGAGCCCGTTTCCCTGGGATTGAACTGGATGTCAGTGACTGTGGGCTCATTCCCAGCTGCAGTGGGCAAAGAGAGGAAGCTGCTGGGTGGCCACTGGTGCTTCCACACACTCAGGAATGACTGGATTGTCCTGGACAGTGGATTTAGGATTGTCCTGGACAGTGGATTTAGGATTGTTCTGGACAGTGGATTTAGGATTGTCCAAGACAATGGGTACTGGATTATTTTGGACAATGGGTATTAGATTTTTCTGGATGGTGATAACTGGATTGTTCTGGACAATGCATGTTGGATTGTTTTGGACAATGGATTTAGGATTGTCCAGGACAATGGGAACTGGATTGTTCTGGACAATGGTTTTTGGATTCCTGAACAAAGTCAAGGCAGACCATGACCAATTCCCCCCTTCCCTCTTTGGGTTTGGATTCAGATCTCGGCTGCCTCCATGTAAAGTGCAGCCTTTTGATGGATTGGGCTTGGATAAATTGAATTTGATTGTTGTTTCCTGGGCTGGCATCAGCAGAAAAAGATGAGGATGTTGCTGTTGTGAGTGAAAAATAAAGACATGGCCCATCCATGCACACTTTGTGGGGGACCTGCATTTACTGACCTCTGAAGCACTGGCATAATTCCATGATCCCAGAACTGTTGATAAAACAGCAGAGAGATTGAAACTCATGGAAAGATCATGAGAGATGGCAGCACAGCTCCCCTGCTGCTGTTGGGATTTGTCTGAAGGGCCATTTCCCAGCCTGAACTCTGTGCCACGGATGAGCTGGAGCCTCTAGAGGCTTTTAACCACACAAATCCTTTGTGCTCGGTGGATGCCAGCCCTTCATCGTGCAGCGACCTCCCCATCTCCCATGGGCTCTCTGCCGTGGTTTGAAGTGTCAAACCCCTCCCGGGTGGCTTGGGGGGAGAATTCTGTGCCAGGGAGAGGTGGTGCCTTCCTCCTCCTGCCTCTCACTGTGATCCAGAGGGGCCACGGGGAAGCTCAGCCCGTGTTCCTCGGTTGCCTCTGCCTCCCTCTCACAGCAGAACTTTTCTCCTTGCGTGGCCAAGCAGTGAGAGAAGACAAACGTGGGATGTCAAACACAGTTAACCCAGACAGGACATGATGGTTCTTGGCTGTAACCGAGCCCCACGAGCTCCAAGGCTGTGTAAATCAGGCGTGTGGAGCGTGTTCAGCTCCCAGCTGAGAGCGTGGGGAGCTCGGTGAGCGGATGTCTCCTGTCAGCATCACCGTCTGGCCAGCTGTTCTCCTCCTGGAAAAGCCAGCAGGCAGCGTTGTGTTCCCATAGTGACATCCTGCTCCCACATCGAGCCCTTCCAAACACTTCCGAGCCCGGTGCATTGACCTGCTACACTCGGGGTGTGACAGCGGGACCCTGCCCTGTGTCCCGTGTCACTGCAGCAGAGCGCAGGGATCAGCTCTGCACTTATCGCTGACAGCTCAGGAATGCTCACAGATGCCCCTTTCCTTCCAAACCCCCCTGAAAAGTGAGAAATCCTCACCTGGCACCTGGCCAGAGCCGTCTGAAGTGAGCAAAGCGCCTGAAAGCAGCGCTGCTCGCGTCAGCGGAGCTTTGCTGGTCGGGAACGTCGCAGCCCCACCTCTGGCACGGATGGAGTGTTTGTACTGGATGCAGGACAAGGAGCAGGAGCGAGGATGAGGGAATTGAAAGCCTGGAGCTGCAGTGTCTGCTCGCTTTCTTTCGTTGCCACGCTCCTGATGGGGGCAGAGCCTTTGTCTCGGTTTTGTTTTTAATGGAATCTTTCTGCTGAATAGGAGGGATTTGTTCCCATCTCGTGCAGGACTGGGTGTTACAGGTGGGATGGGGTTTGAATGAAGGAGATTTCTGCTCGACCCGCAGAGAGTCTCCAAAACACAGCCCTGCCCACCGGTGGGTTTGGCTGCTGGTTTAGTTAACCAGTTGTTAACCAAGGCAGAACCCCGTGCTGTCAGACTCCTCCTAATTAACACAGCAACGAGTGATGGGGAAAATCAGCGTTTAAGGGATGAGAATGGGATGCTCGGCTCTCTTGGTGCCCCAGAACTGCACGGTACAGCCAAAAGGACAGAAGTCCCCAAACCTTTGGTCTTTTGGGTTTCACAGAGAAGGACACGGCTGTGACTCCTCAAACCTTTAGGGTTTCACACAGAAGGACACGGCTGTGACTCCCCAAACCTTTGTTCTTTCGGGGTTTCATACAAAAGGACACGGCTGTGGCTCCTCAAACCTTTGGGGTTTCACACAGAAGGACACGGCTGTGACTCCCCAAACCTTTGGGGTTTCATACAAAAGGACACGGCTGTGACTCCCCAAACCTTTGTTCTTTTGGGGTTTTATACAAAAGGACACGGCTGTGGCTCCCCAAACCTTTGGGGTTTCATACAAAAGGACACGGCTGTGGCTCCCCAAACCTTTGGGGTTTCACTCAAAGGACACGGCTGTGGCTCCCCAAACCTTTGGGGTTTCACACAGAAGGACACGGCTGTGGCTCCCCTTTGTTCCCTGGTGTTCCACACTGGAGCTCACCAGGCTGTTCCCCACGCAGGTAGCTCTGGCAGCAATGGGATTTCTGCTCCCTCGGGGTGAATTCCCAGCTCTCCTCCCAGTGCTTTGTGCACATGACCCTGTTGTTTACTGCTGCAAGAGCGTCCTTTGGCCATTGATCCCTGCCCTGCCAGGGCCAGACGCTTTTCCAGCTGCTTGTTGCAACATTTGGGAAGCGAGGGACTCTTCTCAAAGCGGTGAGGAGCAGAGGGGAAGAAAACCCCACCTTGCCAAGATCTCTCCTTGTGTCCTGCCGGCCAAACCAGTGGCTTGGAGTCCTTCCAGCAGAGGGGAGAGCTCAGAGCTGTGGTTTGCCTTGCTTTGTGCAGTCAGCAGCACCACCCAAAGCCCTGCTGGAATGCCACGGGGATTTCTGGGATCCAGGGGCAGGGAGGGACCTGTGGGGTCACAGTCCAGCTCTGCTGGGTAATGTGGTGATTCCTGGAGTTCACTTTCGTTTTCTGAGCACCAGGGCACAGCGAGGGAGTGTCTGTGGCTCGGGGTGAGCTGTGCTGGGTCACACAGAGCTGGCCAGGATCCAGCTGGGTGCAGGATCTCTCCAGCCTGGGCACAGAATCAGGGAATGGCTGGGGTTGGGAGGGACCTTAAATCCCATCTCATTGCACCCCTGCCATGGCAGGGACACCTTCCACTGTCCCAGGCTGCTCCAACCTGGCTTGGGACACTTCCAGGGATCCAGGGGCAGCCACAGCTTCTCTGGGCACCCTGTGCCAGAGCCCCACCAGCCTCACAGAATTTTTTCCCAATATCCCATCTCAGCCTGGTCCCTGTCAGTTTGAAGCCATCCCCCTTACCCTGTCACCCCCAGGTAATTTTTAACTTTCTCCATTTCTGAATGCTCTGCCTGATCTCTCCTGTTGTTCCAGGAGCTCTGTTGTGCCTCTGCCATCTCAGCCAGCACCTCTCCCTGAATCCTGGGATTTGGCACAAGATAACCAAGCTTTCCCAGCAGGTGCCTGTGCAGGTTTGGGGTTCACACCACCCCCCTGATGCTGTTCCTTCTCTGTCCCCTGCCAGGTCCCCAGCCATCAATCTCCAACACACAGGGTGATCTCCTCTTCCTGCTGGACAGCTCTGCCAGCGTCTCCCACTATGAGTTCTCCAGAGTCAAGGAATTCATGTGGGACCTTCTGCACCCTTTCACCTTTGGCCCTGGGGACATCCAGACCAGCATCATCCACATCAGCACCACACCCACCATGGAATTCCCGTTTGACCAGTACCTGACCAGCGACACCCTGAGAAAAGCCATCAGGGACACCAGGCAGCTCATGGGTGACACCAACACCGGCAAAGCTCTGTCCTACGCCAAGGAAAAACTCTCCAGTGGCGAGGCTGGGGCCAGGCCAGACGTGCCCAAGGTGCTGGTGTGGGTGACAGATGGCTTCTCCACCGATGACATCTCGGAGCCCATGCAGCTGCTCAAGGACATGGGGGTCACCGTGTTCATCATCAGCACCGGCCGTGGCAACTTCCTGCAGCTCTCAGCTGCTGCCAGCCAGCCCTCAGACAAACACCTGCACTTTGTGGACGTGGATGACCTGCCCATCATCACCAAGGAGCTCAGAGATGGCATCCTAGGTAGGCTGGGATTGGTTGGGTGTTGGGTGAATCCCCCAAATCTCATCCCGACCCCACCAAACTGAAAGGGTTTGCTCGCTGTGCTGTAGGTCTGAGTATAAATCAAAGCTTCTGGGAGGTCTGGGATGAATATTTTCTCCCCTTGGAATATTTGATTTTAGTGGTTTTATTAAGGTGAAATCAGGTGATGTGATCGATGTCTGGTCAACTTGCTGAACTCAAAGCTAACTCTAAACATTACTAAAAAAAAAAACCACCAAAACTCTACCTTTACACCAATTCATTAATAGTAACCAATGTTCTATAAAGTTAACTTAAAAAGTAAAAAAAAATAGCTAACAACATAAAAAAACCCCAATCTAAGCTACTGACAAGTAAAGAAACATTACCACTCAAATAAAAAAACTACCTGTAAAAGTCTATCATGTAAATACCCATGTCCCCAAAAATGAAACTAATGAGGAGCACCAAAACAATAAACAAGTAAATCAAACTACACAAATAGAGAAGTCTGGGACAAATATTTCCCCTTGGAATATTTGACTGAGTGGGACAAATTCCCTTCGGTGAGATGAACTTGTGTTTGTGAGGAGTTCAGCTGGGAATGAGGAACTCAGGCAGCAAAATATCTGAATTCCTTAAAACCCCACAAATCTTTGAAATGAGTCATGCAGGTCAGGCATCTGCACAAGCCAGCAGAGCACGAAAATGCCCCCACCTGCACAGGCTGTTAACCAAAGGTTTCCCAAACAGGAAGGATTTCACCTCTGCTGATTGAGGACACAAAGTGCCTGAGTCCCCTGAGTTGATTTTCATGCTCAGGATTATTTTGATTTTTTTTTTTTTTTTGGTCGTCTCAAATATTGTCTGTCTCTGTGCCAGCTGATGGAGGAACACCAACGTGTTGAGCACATCCAAAATGGGATTTGTGTCCCTGGCAAGGATTTGATCCTTTCTGACTCCCTAAATTCACCAGCAAGAGCTGAGACCTCCAACTCCTGCAGTTGTTCTCTTACAAAATACAATTAAGGTGCCAGCTGTCGGCATTGAGACTATAGGAAAGGAATGTTTTTATTCCATAAATCCCCTGTCCTGGCATGTTCCACATGCACAGATCCATGGCCTGACTTGGCCAGCACGAGCTTTGGGAGAAGAGCCCGAGTGCTGCCTCTCTGCTCCTCCAGGGTTGTGGTGGTGGCTGGCAGGGGGAACAGGCAGCAGGTCGCAGTTGTCACCACTCCAGGTTTTTAGAGCATCCAGGAAAGGCTCTGAGGGGAGGAAATTCCAGGATCTGAGCCTCAGGACAGGCTTTGGGAAGCAGGGGCACTGCCTTCTGCCCCTGGGGTTTGTCTCAGCCTCCCACATGCTCTGGATTTGTTTGGAATGCTCAGGGAGTTGCTGTGACTGCACACAGATTTTCTGGAGGTTCTCTCTCCATTGGAAATCCTGATTTCATTCCTTATTTGATTCTGCTGTGTGAGGTGAGTTGGAGCTGCTTTTGGTGCCTCAATAACTCTTTCCACACAATCCTCTCTGTAGCAATTCCTTCCTGTTCCCAATCACAATCATTTAAAATAAATCACACCCAAGGACTGTGTTCTCCCCCAAATTCTCTCCCGTGTGAGAACTGGGCAGCACCAAGAGCCCTCCTCCTGTCCCAGCCACCCCACAGACCCTCAGGTATTTTGTTTCAGTGCTCATTTATTTTCTGGTGCATCCTGAATCCAGATTATACAAAACAGCATCTCAAAAAATTAGAAATCTGCAGCACAGGAGATCATAAAATCTGCAGAGGTCACAACTGCTGTGCCTGAGGGCAGCATTCTGTGCATCCAGAATGGATGTGCATCTGCTGGGCTGGGATTTTAATGCAAAGTGTGATTCCCACATGAATCCAGGGGTTGCAAAGTGCCAGACATTGGTCACATAATTTGATTTCACCTTAATAAAACCATTGGAGTTCACTGTTCCCTAGCTGGAGGAGGCAGCCCCCAGCCAGCCCCCTCCTGGGACAGCAGGGACAGCCAGGATCTTGGCTGGCAGGAATTAATCCTTTCCAACTCTGGAATGGCCCAGACTGGTTTAATTATCACTGCTCTCTTATCTTCATCTCCTGCTACTGTTAAAAAAAAAAAAAAAAAAAATCAGTGGAGGCTTTTGTAGAGGCACAAACAAGCCTTGTCAAGAGCTGCTCCCCTCCTTCCATCTCCTTTTTCCAGGAATGGGGTGTTTTGTGCCTGCTCCATAAATATTCCAGCACAGGGGTTCCTGCCAAGCTGCTGCTGCCCCAGGTGGGCTGAGAAGCCTCAATCTCCTCTCAGGAGAGATTCCTGAGATGTGGTGGAGCTGAAACAGCTCCAGTGCTGCTCTGCTCTGTGGAGGGGTGCAGGACAGGGGCTGTGGATGCCTGGGTGTGTCCACTGCCTTTTTTTTTTTTTTTTTTTTTTTTTTTTTTTTTTTTTTTTTTTTTNTTTTTTTTTTTTTTTTTTTTTTTTTTTTTTTTTTTTTTTTTTTTTTTTGTCCACTGCCCGGTTTTCCTTGGAAGAATTCTGCAGAATGCAGCTCCCAGCCAGCCTGGCTGTGGCACAGCTGGCACAGCTGGATCCTGGCAGGCACCTCCACCCCTCCCAGCAGGAAGGGAAGGTTCTCAGGCTGTGGAGGAGCTCAGGCTCCTTCTGTTACATCTTAGATGTGCCCGAAATGTGACATTTGGAGCTCTCCTTGTGGGGAAGGACCCCCCGGTGTTGTGAAACCAAGGCATTCCTCCGAGCTGACATCAACTCCTGTGCCTGCAGCCACTTGCTCTGTGCTCAGCCCAGTTGAGCTGAGGCTGCTGACTCAGTTCCAGCCTTTGGCATCCCCTCCTGAGCCAAGCTTTGCAAGGCCCAGCAGCCCCCCAGTCCCACGTGGGCTCAGGGCAAAGCATTTCTGATCTGAAAGAAGGTCCTGGGTAACTCCTGCTGCAGTGAGTGCTCCGATGGTCTCACCTGGCACTGAGCTCAAGCAGGTGAGCACAGGGAATGATCTCAGACCACCCTGGTGATGGAGAAGAGTTGTTCCCCCCTCCCAGAATCAGAACTTTCCCCACTCATATCAAAGCAGGGAAACTGGGGGGAGAGATTTGTCCCAAATCCCATTTGCAGCTTCTCAGACCCAGATGAGGACAGGTTCTCCTGCCTGCCTGCATTTCTTCCCCTCACCATGAGACCTGCAGCATTCCTGCGAGTCTGACCCTGATCTCTCCAGAGCCCAGGGGATGCCAACAAACTGCAGAGTGGAGTTTGGAGTCACCAGGAGGCAGGAGGGGGAGGGAAAGTGTCACCAGCTGTCTGAGTGGCACTAGGCAGGGCTGGCTGTGTCCAGGACAGGATATTTAACTTGCTGCTTCCCTCCGGGAACAGAGGGGCTGGGCAGCACATTGTGACATTGATTTTCTGTGGTTTATTGCCCTCTTTATATGCTGAAGGCATCTGGGGTCTGGCAAGAAAGGGCAGAGCTGTTTGCTATGGGTTTCCTGCCCCTGTGCTTTGATCTGCCCCCTTTATTCACAGTGTCCTGCCTCCAGGCTCACTTATTTCCATTCCCTGAGCTTTTGGCAGGATTTTTGGCAGGACTGAGGCCTTTCCTGTGCTCCCTGTTCCTTCGTGGCTTGGCTCCTGGTGTTTGTGGGGCTCCCAGAAGGGTGCAGTGCCCCAGGATTCCTGATCCTGCCTCCCACCCTGGGAGAGGGTGGAGTGCTGCTGGATGGGATGGGATGATGGGATGGGATGATGGGATGGGATAATGGGATGGGAATGGGCAGGGCACTGAGCAGGCAAATGTTCCTGCCTGCCTGGGACAGCCAGGGAACAGCTCAGAGGAAAAACTGAGGCTGTTTTATTTGGTACAGGGAAGTTGGCAGGGGCTCGGAGGAGGAGGAGAGCTGATCCTCTCCTGGCTAAAGGACAAGTCTGGGAGTGCAAAGCAACCCCATCCTGCAGGTTTGGGAGGAATTTTGTGCCTCCCTTTACCCTCTGTGCAATGGGGAACCAGTGAGAACACACCTAGAGTGTGTCTGAGCACGAGCTGGAAGGTTCTTCTAGAAGGATTTAGGTTTACAAGGATTTAGGTTCTTTTATAAGGATTTCAAGGCTCAGGGTGTTCTTAAAAATCCTTTAAAAACAGAAGAGCATCTCCATGTCTTCCTGTGTCACTTCCCTGGAGCCAGAAACAGAGTCCTGTGTGTTTCTGCCCCTCTGGAGGACCAGAGAACAGTGGAATTGTGCCCAAAAATGGCTGAGAAGGCCACACGTGTCAGAAGGGTCAAGTAGCAGAGGGAGCTGGGGGAGCTGCCCAGCATCACAAGAGGGATTTGTGCCTGGCATTTGGGGGCTGGAAATCAAAGGTAGCACGAGCCTCAAAGGGAAGGCTCTGTGCAGGGGCAGGGAGAGGTGAGGTGGCACAAGAGGGCTCTGAGTGTTGAATGTCACCAAACAAGGGAGCTCTGTGCAGGGAGTGACCTCAGCTGGGCTGAGTCCAGCTGGCTCAGCAGTGCTGGGCAGTCCCCAGGGGCTGCCCCTTCTTCCTGGCCACTGGGCACTGGGAGAGAGCAGGGAGAGATGGAGAAAAGGAGAAATGGAAA